AATTCATCAGAATTAAAGTTTTGTGCAAAAAGTTATGCCTATCCAAAATTAGGCATAAATCCTAGAAAATTGGAAATTTACCAGATGAAAAGTGTTTCTTTACGTGAAATCTAGGCATGATTGACAAGGCATTGATACCAGAGAGCATTTTTTTTTTCCTCTGAAGGTCGTCATAAGATCTTCAAGTATAACTTAGAACCACCTCATTTTAATTTTCGTAAAATTAGTTATGATTTTTCAAAATTTAGCCTAAGTTTGGGATTATAATGAATAGTAACCTGAAATTAAAAATTTTGAAACTTGAATTTTTCTAACTAGCCTTGAGAAATGGTTCTAATTGGTTCTATTTGAAAGATTATGTGGTCTAATAGGAAGGTTTTATATTTGAGGCCAATAGAATAAAAACCTCGTTACTATCTCAAAATTTAGTGGAAGCACTCCCATTAGGCTTGATTTTGATTGAGGATTGTAGAAAGAAATATATTATTAAAAAAATTCAACCATTTGGCAATAATCAAAAAGTTGATTTGATTTTAGTCTTTTTAAGGCCAATAGAACAAAAATCTCATCATTATCTCATAATCCAGTTGAAATACTACCGTTAAGCTTGATTTCTTCTGAGGATTCCAGAAAGTAAGATATCATTGCCAAATTCAAGCACTTGGGCACTCATCTGAAGCCGATTTTATTTTAGCCTACTTAAAGCCAATAAAACAAAGTCTTGTCACTATCTCAAAATTCAATAGAAATACTTCTATTAGGCTTGATTTTACATGAGGATTTCAGAAAGCAATATATCATTGCCAAATCCAACCATTTGGTTGCTCACTCAAAGCCGATTTGATTTGAGCATATTTGAGGCCAATAGAAGAACAAAAATCTCATCCCTATCTCTGAATTCAATGAAAACACTCCTGTTAGGTTTTATTTTGCATGAGGATTTCAGAAAGCAATATATCATTGCCAAATTCAACCATTTTAGCACTTATCCAAAGCCAATTTGATTTTTACATGTTTGAGGCCAATAGAACAAAAATCTCATCACTATCTCATAATTCAATGAAAACACGCTCGTTAGGCTCAATTTCGCATGAGGATTCTAGAAAGCAAGATATCATTGCCAAATTCAACTATTTGGATGCTCATCCAAAGTCGATTTTATTTTAGCATGTTTGAGGCTAGTAGAATAAAAATCTCGTTACTATCTCGGAGTTCAGTAGAAACACTCACATTAGGCTAGATTTTGATTAAGGATTGTAGAAAGGTACATATGATTGCCAATATGATATTTAAGGTGGTTGGGAGTTTTCATAATAGAGCTTAAGCAATTGTCCACTGACCTTAAGTGCGCAACTAGTTCTCTCATCTAGAACCTCCACCATGCCAAAATCATGCACTTTGGTAACCATATATGGTCCATCCCATCTTGCATTCAGCTTTCCTTGTCTAAACTTGAATCTAGCCTTGAATAAAACAGCACAATCAGCCTCTTTAAAATGCTTTCTTTAGATGCCTTTATCTTGAATAAGCTTTGTCTTTTCTTTATACATCCTTAAGTTCTCATATGCTTTAAGTTTGATTTCTTCTAACTCTTGTATTTGTATTTTTCTTTCAATTGTAGTGGTTTCCATATCCATATTGCAGACTTTGACTGCCCAATAGGCTTTATGTTCAAGTTCTACATGTAAGTGACATGCTTTTCCATACACTAGCCTATAAGGAGACATCCCAATTGGGGTCTTGAAAGCTGTCCTATATGCCCACAAAGCTTCTTCCAATGTAACACTCCAATTCCTCCTTGTTGGCCTCACTATCTTCTCAAGAATTTATTTAATTTTGCTGTTTGAAATTTCTGTTTGGCCATTAGTCTAAGAATAATAAGTTGTGGACATCATTTTAGTTATTCCATATTTAGCAAAAAGACCATCAAACAACTTCTTACAGAAGTGTGTGCCTCTATCACTTTACAAAGTATCAAACGATAGAATTTCAAAATGTCATCTTATTTTCTAAAATCCTCTCGATAAAGCAAGCCTAACTGGCACATGTCCAATAAATTTTGAGATAGTGATATGAGAGGACGATACAGATCGGTTAGAAACAAGTATAGGATGGAATGAGACCCCAAAAAAACCTACCTCTTGCAACCCCAAACACAAGAAACTGGATGGATGATTGAGGTAGGACCTTGAGAGAACTTGTCTCTTACAACCCTAATCATGAAAACACCACAAGGTTGATTACTCCCTTGATACTGTTGAGTATTCTCATAAAAATACAAGGATGTCAACATAGCCCACATAAAGAGAAATAAAATTTTCATATTATTAATTATTCAAGTCTTCTCTGTCTAAAAAGAGTACATATTGAATTATTTATAAATTAAGATTCTTAAAAACCCTAAAATGAAAACCCTAATTGATAACTTAAGCCCTAAAAGCCCATTATAAGTTATTAGAGCCTAAAACACTAACTAAATAAAATGTATGAAAAATACATTTAAAAATATAATAAAATTAGGAAAATCAAAAGACTTTTTAGAATGCTCTAACTTGCTAGTCAATATAGAATAATCTAGATCACTCACTACATAAGAGGATCCCATCATTAATGAAAAGGATCTTATTTTACTTTCTACTAATTAATGACATAGAAAATATGTAAGTCTTTACCGTCAAGAAGCAATGAATACAAAATAAGAAACTATAAAATATGAAACCAATTAAAACAAATAAAATCTTAATTAATGCCATAGAGGAAGCTCTTGATGCTTTTTGAATCTTCTTGGGCTTTGCAAATAGATCTTCATAAATCTTATTCATGTCCATAAGCATGTATGGGCTTTTAAGACATCCATTTAGGTTTGAATATGGATGAATCACGTTCTGGGGCTCTCATGGTCCAAAGCATAATGCACTTGGGCCTAGTTTGAAAGATTATAGTTCTAATGGACTCCTCTATGCACATAAACTTATATTGGGCCTTTACTAACATGGGAATTAGGTTCAAATCTTCCTTTTAGGCTCTTTGAACATGCTCTTGACTTTCTCAACATCCAAGTGTCCATACACCAACGATTAATTTGCCATGGTGGCTTTAGGGGTGGTTTGTCATGTGTCCACTCAAGCTCCATGCAGATAATTGTCCATGTCTTCATCCAAGCAATATCCATGTCCTCCTCCATGTAAGCATTCTCGAGATATAAATTCCTTAAATACTCTAGAGGACTTGTTAGGCCTCTAAGTAAATGAGTGCTATTTGACCCCATATTGTAGGGTAGATCTTGAAAGATATGAAAGATCTCCCTCCAAGCCATACATACAACTTTCATCGAATACGACTTTCCACAAAATTCTATATGTATCTATAAGATCGAGTATAGAATTCTGTTTATTCACTTAAAATTGAGTATCCGTTAGGCTTCATGACGTCCATATTAAACTTTTTATGGTATGCTATCATTCCCTTCCTCTTCGAAAAGATTCGTTCTTGAATCTTGGCCTAGATCAAAAGGAAAGAAATTAGAGTTTTCAAAAATAATATGAACACAAAACTTACCAAATGGAGAAATCTTGTTCATGAAATTATGGGTCTTTTCAAGATCTTGAGAGGGATCTTGATTCCTTAGATTCATTTTAGGAGACTCAAATTTAGAAAGCCGTTGAAACTTGCTTTGGGTCAAAAATCTTTTCTTTGTAACATGTATCTAAATATAAATGATTATTTGAAACCTTTTTCCACTGACAACATAACCTAAAGCCACAGTAAAATCCAAATAACAAGAAAGCCTCTTAACCATAACTTTCATATTATATGAACACCTATGAACAATAAAATTCATGTAACAATGAAAATCTAATGTGTGAAGTTCAAGGTATCTTAAAGGCAACAAGTCATCTTGAGTAACAAAATTTAGGCCATTAGAATGTTTTTCAATATTGCTTGAATGAAATAAGAATCCATTGGTTGGCTCTTTAGGAAACAAATCTCCTCATCAAAAACAGAAGGAGAAGAATGATTGAGATAATTAGTAATCAAAGAAATATCATTGTAATCACTCTTAATCTCACTTTTCTCACATGTATTTCCATTTTCTTTTCACTCAACTCAATTTATGAGAAGGGAGAGCATTGGGTGAATTCAATTATTGTATTAAGGCACCAAAGGCCATTGAATCCTAAAGACTATAATAGAACTCTCAGAGGTGTTTTCAGAACTGGATGTAAGTCACGTGGTTGGACTTTGCTTATGTTCTTCTCTCTTTCTACTTTTTCGGTGAAACCTTTCTAACTCTAGCTTATTTCATTTACATTATTGTTTTTGAATCCTAAAATTTTTAATATCACATAATTCACCCCCCTCTTGAGCTGTTCTGCCATTCTAAGAGTGATTTCATATCAATATGAGATATATTGTATGTATACACTCCATTCTGTACCTTCTTTGATTGAAGAATCTGTCTTCATATTCCATCATTTTACTTTAAAAAGGGTCATCATTCTCAGATTCTGAAGGACAAATTGAGTCATTAATTGAATTACCCCTTTAATTTGAAAGAAAAAGGTTCAAGTTTGACAGCATTAAGAAGTATGCGTTCCTTCGCATCAATATCCATATTGTGTAATCTATACGGAAAGTCATATTGTTAGTACGTCATACATAGTATTAACTTACTTGTTAGTAAGTCATACATAGTATCCACATCTAGTTTTAATATGGCATCTCTTCCGATTTATCATATTCATTTATACGGTAACATAATGAGCATGAAAATAACAAACACTGCTAGACAAACATAATAATATGAACTATATGGCTTCTTGTAGTCTATCTGCTTGCGGCGCTAATCTTGCAGATTAGCCAACTTCAATTAAGGTCACTTGTCTCTTCTTGCATATAAAGATACATAACCCATATTTTATGAGAAAATATCTATATGGACCACAAATAGCAGTATCCTCTTTTAGAATCATCACCATATTGCTGAAGATTATGTTCAATTAGACCTCCGGAGTATTATGAGGAATATTAATATCGCGTCTTGTTCTTGTTTCTGGGGGTCCAATGAGCAAGTCAGTTTCCACATCTGAAGTTGGACTATTTTCCGAGGAGGTTGGATTTTCACTTGTATTCTCTGTCGTCTGATGCATATCAGGCATCATACCATACTGCACAGTAAAATATCCCATTACAAACTGATAACAATGTTACAAGCGCATTGCACTTGGTTTGGCTCTAAAAGTAACTAGCCCATATAAATTAATACCTCTTCATAGAGCCTTGCGTTTTCTGCTCTTAGAGTATTTCCCTGGTTGGCAACAATAAAAATCAGCATTTTGTAGCCTAATTAAGCAAATCTTTCCATGGAGTCAAATTCATGTTCATAGAGAATATATAGTGCATATAGACAAATATTTTCTTGGTTTTCGGGATGTGACTCAGGGTTTAGACAAAAAGAGTTCAAATGGTAATAAATTCTTAAGAACAATATATAGTGCATATAGTTCCAATATGACTATTTTGCAGATTGAATCATGATAGGTGGATCAACTCATGAACATCTTGATGTAAAATAGAAGAGGAAAGAGGAAGGGATGAGATCAGAAAAAGCAATGAAGGAAAGGGAAAAAGAGACGGAGAAGAGGAAACAATCTGAGAGAAAATTAATTATCTGTCAATTCAATATTCAAAATCTGCCATCTAATGAGAAACCTAGAGTTACTTATACTAAAACTGAAAATAACAACAACAACTAATCCTAATAATAAAATACTGACAAATCTAATTGAATCCTAAAAATCTTAATAATTCAAATATCCTAGACATATAATAAATCCATAATTATATTCAAGTATTAACCATATCCTAGACATGTGAATGCAGGGATTTGATCAATTGAAGAAGAGCTGATTTGGAAAGCTAACAAAAATTTCTTTTCTTTTCTGACAGTTTTAACAACAAATGACAAGCAAATGCAAAATCGTATTCAAGTATTAACCCACTAAACAGCTTACCTTTTCTTTTATTCGCTCAATTTGTTCTGTAAAAGCCCGATTCTGAAAAATAGAAAGTTGAGATTCGGATATAAAATTAACAGTACTTTCAGAGTAAGACCAATGTTAATGTTAACCTTTCTTGCTCGGACGTTTATCACACTCCTTTGTAACTGCTGTTGTATCTCTTCTAGTTCTGCTAGGGAGCATGACCCTAATCCTTCTCCCAAGAGTTTCCTGAAGGATTGAAATAAATTACAAAAGCAAATTAAAACGTTCTTTTGTGATGATCAACCCCTTAATTATTACGTCAGGTTTGAAGAATTTAAAATTGAATGAAACCGTTTTGTAACTTCAAGATGTTCAACTTTTCCCATCATGCTTTCTGCTTCCTCCTTTAAAAGCTGCCATTGATAAGAAAGTATCGTTAAAAGCATCATCATCAACAAATACTGTTGTACATACAGTGTGTGGATTTGTCAAAGGAAAAGTCCCACACTGCTTGGGATTATGGGGGTCTAAGTAATAGGTAATGTTGGGTTACTATGTGAGCCAAGAGGAGAAGTGAAATTGCATACACAACAGGCCACCGGAGACCAATCTAGCAATTCACCTCACCCCTTGTGCATGAGTCAAATGTTGTACTGGGCACTTATTAAAAATATTTGTCTAATTAATATGCCATTTTGATTACAATTATGCCTTTTCAATGTTCATAACCAAAGATTTTATTCATCATAAATAGTCATTAAACAAGTTAATTACTACTTGAAACTACTCATTTAATTATATGAGTTAATTGCCATTAAGCACATTTAGATGTGTCCAATGATGTTGTAATCCGGAGCCTATAAAAGGGCCAGAGACTGAAGTTTAGTGTAACCCTTAAGCTTTGAGCTTTTAGGCAACTTTCTTCGCTCCTTTGGTATTCTACCTTACTGAGTTCTTTTATCTTTCGTTGTTTTGTTCACCCTATTCTTACAAAAAGAATCCGTCTAATTCTAGAGAGTGCCACTTCTTGTTTTGCCTTTAGTTGCGGAGTAGTTCTTAAGGACAGTATCCGAAGAACACGACTCGGATTTACTGTTTATCTGCAGTTGTTACCATCAATAGGATTTGCATAGCATTATAGAGGAGTTGGAAGATCTGCTACTTTTTTGGAGAATTTAGGTGCTACCGCCAACAAATACAATGTACAAAAACTAATTTATTCTCATCTTGAGTTTTACCAAAAAAATTTTTAAGTAGTCTCCCCCAACATAATTTTGCAGATTTTTTAAAAACCTTTCTCCAACAAGTATATGCCTATATGTTTGGCCTTGCTTAATAACCAACATTCAGCTCCTCAAATCAAATATCGAAGTTTAAGCTTAGGACATGAAGGCTTAAGCTTTAGTTCTGAAGAAATATGTGCCAGTGATAGCATATAATTTCCAAAACTGGGACCATAATTCAGATTCAGATCTGATCCTTCTTCGCTGGTTTCATCATTAAGACAGTTTTGGGGAACTTCTTGCTTGCGGATTCATCTATTGCTGATTCATCATTAAGACAGTATTTTCAACTAGATAATAAGCTTTGTTTTCGACAAAGACAGATGTAATGATTGTGCGCAAAGATAAGAAAATACTTCAAAAATTACTAAACACATGAAAACCTGCATATTTTGTTCCAAGTATCTGGTGGCTGTCTCAGCATCTCTATTATAACTACGATATCGTTTAATTGTCTCCTGCAACCTGTAGAATCAAAGCAAGTATTTCCAGTAAGATTGTATGTGCATGCCAAGTTGATCCTTGGATAAAAATCAGTCATGAGAAAGGAGACAAAGGGCATTATCAATCCCTAAATCCCGGAAAGAGGTGGAAAATAAATTTTCAAATGACATCAATAAAACTGTAGAGAAGAAAAAGGTTTTACACTAGAGTAATGTCCAGATTTTGAGGCATATTTATATATTTAGTATTTGATAGGGTCTTTCCATATAGGCCACGTAAGGTTTTTTGAGATGCCTGAGTCTAGTATTGAGATACTTCAATGGGACAAATACTAAACTAGGGTACTTCTCCTATCTCAGTAGTTAGATTTTTGGAGGATCATCCTAGGGTCTTCATCACATAGAAATTATATATATATATATATATATATATATTTTAGGCGTAAGGGATGTGAAAATCAGTCGCACCTTAATTTTCAGGTTATGACAGTGATCTAAAATTGAAAGCTTCGGATAGCCTACAGGAAATTTGCCATTATGCACCAGAAACAACAATTAATATATGCTACAAACGTGATAGGTATTTAATTAACTGACATATTAAGTTCAAACTATTACACAATGAACATGAATAAAGGTTCCTTCTGGCATGTTGTTCATATGATCAACATCTTAAGCCTCGATATTGGTTTTTCTTTCCTAGGCAAGGGCACGGCGTGGGGGGCAACTGACACCCCCAGGTCTTTTACTTGGGGGTGTAATTTTCGCTGCAAAAATAACGTGCCCTAGAAACTGGTTAACTAACTTGACTGAAAAATTAGATACAAGAATCAATAGGGAGAAACAGAATAACAGATTGCACCGCTATGTACAGTCTGGTTCATTTTCATACATATTGCTGTGTAACTTATAGCAACTAGTCCAGGTAACTCAGCATCATGCAACGCCGGATAGGATTTACAAGTGGATCTGACTTTTTTTTTTTTTTTTTACTTTGTTGAATAAATTTTGAAGTTTGGCTCATAAATCTGGAAAACACATCAGCTAGTTGTGCTATAGAACGACTTGAAGAGGCGGCAAGTGAAAGAGCTTGGGATATCTAGAGAAGTCTTCTACTGCAAATTACAGGCTAATCTGTTTCACTGGAAGTTAGTCAAATCAAATATTATATGCATCTTCGTCATCATAAATTCAATTACTTGTATAATTAGAGTTCCTTTTGTGCAAGAAACCATTAGTAAAAATGGTTAATAACATATGCTGTCCAAATGGAAACAAACAATTACTATATGCACAATGGGCAACAAGTCGACGTCTCATCCCATATCATACGTACCAAGTGCAATGGCTTCCAAGTCATTTATTCCACAGAACTGAATGAAATTAAAATTAAAATCGGAATATATTAATAATATAAATAAAAATAATTTTTTATCTTCACTTAAAAATAATGAAAGAACGTATTTAATTAAATAATACTTCCTTTAGTTCTATATGTAAGAATTAATTGGAGAGTTTGTTTTGATCCTTAATACAAGACCTAAACTCATTTTGCCCTCTAAATTTATGATTTTTCTCCCAAACTATCATCATGGGTAGCTTCAATATATATGACTAAAGAAGGCATTTTAAAAACTTAACATGTATTTTTTATAAATAACTATCTTAACTAATTTTTTTTATACCAATAAATTAGCATGCAGCTCTTATGCTTATAAAAAGGGATATTTAGAAATATACAATATATTTATAACATATATTTATGTGCTTTCTAAAAGAGTTGTGCGCTCAACTAAACGTCTCAGTTCCGGCTCATAGGGAAGTTAAACATCTCAGTTCCGGCTCATAGGGAAGTGAAACTAGTTATAGTCGAACCAGTACTGTTAGAGTTTGTTTCACCACGCGCAAGATCGACGTTAACTTCTCGACTGTACTGAACCAAAGACAGTTCTTAACCTGAAACATAAAATAAGTTCTGAGCTATCTATCATCGACTAAATTTTTAGTAAAGAAGGGGGTGGAGCTGAAATTTTGTGGACAGAAAACTTGGATAGAGAGTACTACCGTCATTCATAACCAGATACAGTAGATGGAAAAAAAAAACAAAAAGAAGAATTTGAATTGCCACTTCAGCGATGAAGACACAGTATTCGCCACCCCTATTTCAGTGGTTGAGTTTACCTACTCGCTCCATAAATGGAAAATTTTGAGGACGGCGTTTGTGGGTACGATGAAACTCTCAACTTTTTGTCGCTTGCATGAGACATTTCACTATAAATTAACTAGGATGATACAGATTCATCATGCAGTGGTCATCTCACAAACCATAAATATGTGATTGAAGAAACTATACTCTAAAAGCAGATTAATTGACAGTAATGTAATGCAAAGCACGAATATATATACATATATATTACCTGGAGCTTGAAAATTCAAAGAGCTTGCCTCTGGGAGAGAAGATGATGAGAGCAACCTCGGCATCACACAGAACTGAGAGCTCAAAAGCCTTCTTTAAGAGTCCATTACGCCTCTTCGAGAATGTCACTTGTCTGTTCGTCGCGTTCTCTATACGCTTCATCTCTATCTTCCCTCTCACCATCTTTAATATACTCTTGACGCCTCTCTCTCTCTCTCTCTCTCTCTCTCTCTCTCTCTCTGTGTCTAGCTCTCTCTCTTTGTGAAGATCTAAATCAGGAAATACCTGGGATATGGAGCGCTATACATATCTATGGCTGGCCAGAGAAAAGGTATATAATGGGTGGTTTCTGGAGAGAGATTTGAAATAATTAAGAGGGGAGATAAATGGGAATGTACACCGAATTGGCAAAAACCCAAAAAAACTTGAGGCTGTGTTTAGAGATGGGAATCAGGGCTAGCCCAGGGCTGACGGGTTTAAAAGGGTTGGCCTTCTAAGGCTGAAATTTCAAAAATACCCCAATTTACTAGGCCTGATCCTTAAGCTACAGCGCTCAGGGCCGGCCTGCAGGCTTTTGGCTCGTTTAAGAAAAAAATACTATTTTTTATATTTATCATATTTTTTATAAAAAAATAAAAATAAACCAATGAAATTATTAAAACAAGACATAAATATGAATAAAATTAAGTCATAAATATAAAACATCATCATATATAAATATCCATCAACATCCAAGAATATCTAAAACACTCATTAACAAGATAACAACATCCAAAAGTGTTATCTATAGTGTAATTGTGCAATAAATAAAAACTATCATTAATCTTTTGAAACTTCATCATCACTATAATTAATTACTCTTCTTCATAAGTATGCTTTTCTTTCATAACAAAAATATCAAGTTTTTCTTCTTTATAGAAATTTTACTTTTAAATTTTACAATCTAACTATTATTTTACTTTAATGTGAGAAACATTGTTGTTGAAACTCATGAATTTCTAATTCAAATTATAGAATCACAAGTTATATAAGTATAAAAATACTCTATTATCAAATATATATATATAGTTTAAAAATATCAACGCATATAATATAAATCAAATCATTATTAAAGTCCAAATTAACTCATTTTTTAAAAATTTAATTGGATAAATTATTGTCTAACACTAAATTTAATTTTAAAATGATAATAATAACAACTAAATATTTGAAATATTATTAACAATGTAAAAAATTAATAATATTATAATTATATAAAAAAATTTAAAAAACAAAAAAAAATATAAAATGGCTTAAAAGGGCCGGCCCTTTTAAGCCCTCGGCCCTCCAGGGTCAGCCCTCCAAGGCTTATTTCCCATTTAAAAGAAAAAATATCAAACCTGGCCCTCACAATTTCATGGCCTAAACGGACCGGTCCGTTTTCCCGACTCTAGCTGTGTGTGAATAGAAATGGAAAGAAATGAAAGAAGGGGTGAGAAAGAGAGACAGAAGAAAAAGAAAATGAGAGTGTACTTTGAAATCCAAAAAAAAAAAAAACAGAGAGAGAACTGTAGAATACCTTCTCAAAACTGCGTACACTGTTCAGTCCAGGGAGAGAAAGAGGATGCCCCGATTACGCAAGAGAGGATGCGGCCATATATTTATATCATCCAAAAATGAATTCACTTATATAACCAGCTTGGATCCATTGCTGACACTATAATTATTAGTTGTATTATCGGTTTGGATTGAATTTGTAATCAATTACATATGACAAAATTTTAATTTATTGAAAATTATCCAAATACACTTTTGTTTGTGTTTGGGTTAGAAGTGGTCAGAAAATAAATTTTAAGTAAAATTAAGTTTTAATTATGATTTTGAGAATAGATGTAGTTGTCATTGATTTATAAAATTGATTTTAGGTATTACCGAAAAACAAAATTGGAAAGCCGAAACTATGGTTTCTTAAAAAAAAAAAACCCAAAATCATACTTACCTCGTAAGCTACCGAACACATTTTTAGTGTTTTGAGATTTTTATATCATATTCCTTCAATCATTAATATAAGACCTAATTGTTGAGTAATTTTGATTCTAAATATAAGACTTATTTCTCATGTTTATCTGTTTTTTTAAATTATTCCTATAAATATTCCCTCAACCATAATCAAGTAGGAGAGGGAGATCAAAAAAGATATTAAAAAAGATGATTATAGTATTTTAGGAAAAAAAACATGTCATACTACCTCCGGTCCTAGTTATAAGACCTCGTTTATAATCTATAAACGAGATCTTATAATTAGGACCTCATTAAATAGGTATTACATTATATAGATATTATAAATTTAAAAAAAAACTGAGCCTTGAACTTTTAACGGGCAATGTTTATAATTTGACTCGTAATAATATAATTTATGATAAATTATAGTCTGTCGATATGTATAATAAAATTTATAATATAATCAACAAATAGGCATTTGTCCTAAGGAAATATACCTACTCTAGTACAAAATCTTAGGTTTGAGTTTTTCTGAATGGCAAACGCATTTTTGAGAGATCTACATCTAATTAAACCCAACAATAGAAAAAGTAACTTTCTCAAAAATAAGTTAATTAACTATTGTAGAAATGAATTATGTTTAATGAAAGGCTAAAGTATATATTTAGTCTTTTAACTTTATGTAAAGTTTCAGTTTAATCCCTTAACTTTAAAAAGTATACTTTTAGTCCTTTAACTCCAAAATTTTTAGTCTTAAATGATGATTTTTTACAACAACTATGATTGTTTTGAATATTAAACCTTATATGTTGGCATTTAGTAATATTTTATCAGCATCCAAGAGCTCAATATTATCATTTTTTGTTAATAGTTTTAGGATTAGAGAATTAAAAGTTTACTTTTTAAAGCTAAAAGATCAAAATAAAATCTTGTATAAAGTTGAAAGACTAAAAGTATACTTTAGCCTTAATGAAAAACAAAACACATAATTATAATTATACTCAATATTATTAGAGCATTTTATTATATGTTCATATATTTTAATTTATAATTTTATGCAAATTTATTTTTAAGTTTTTATTTTTTATATCTTTGTATTTTACGTTTGTTAACAGTTATTATAATGTTAATTAATCAGTATAGATAGAGAGTGAGAGAGAAAGAGAGAGAGAATTTATTTCAAACAATGTTTTCTTTTCATTGGAAACAGTCATATATACATTCCTTCGCCGTCTATAGTAAAGTTTAACTCACCTTCTTTTTTAGTAATCAACAATCTTAGGCCTCCTCGTTCTCTTCCACTACCGCATAAAGGAACCAGCGGGATTCAAAATCTCATCATTCACCCCAGATAGAAAAAAATTGAAACTTCATCATTGGGTAATTAAAACTTTAGTTCACTTGCACAAAAAAGGAAAAATCTTCATAGAAGGAATAAAATCATAAAAATCATTATGACATTACCATTGTTTTCCTCACAATCTTTTGTTGGTTTGGGATGACGAAATGGAACGCGCGGGGTTGATGGAACCTTAGAGTAATGACTCCCTTTCATTCTTTCTCAAGTTCTAAGTTTTTGAAATTAAATTGTGTTTAATTAGTTATGATTAATACAAACTGACATTTAATTAGTAGGTTAACATGACATATATACAAAAAATGAAAAATTAATCATTTAGTCTCTATATTTTTTTACTCAATTTAAACCCATCACTTCTTAAATTTTGACTAATTTAATCCTTATATTTTAGATCCATTTAAAACTTAGTCTTCAACTTTGATAATATATATTTTTACTCAATTTAAACTTTGATTCAATACAATTTAATCTATATAGTTTTAACATTTAAAATATTAGTCCCTACTCTTAAAAAAGTAAAATTATCTACTTAAAGCTTGGGAACTAAAGTTTTAAATAATTAAAATTATAGGAAATTGAGTAAGAGCAAGTCAAACTTTGAAAATTATGTTACAACTAAGTGGGTATTCCCTCAAACATCAATTTTAATTTGTGCTTCATAACATAAAATTCTTCTTATATATTTACTTCGTATAGAATAAAATTACTCAAAATAATAAACTACCAATCACCCCTAATCAAAATATTATAACCAAATGATTAATTTTCTAAAAGAAATATCCTTTTGTTTGAGCAAACTAATTAAGGACATTAGCACTTTGAAAACAATAGTAAAGAAAATGCTTGCGGTAGACAAGCACTTCTTGAAGCATGACTATTAGTGCTTGTTTGAGAAATCTCCATGAGTACTTTGAGAAGTGTTTTTACGCAACTAGAAACAAAAATTTCTTATCTACTTATCTTAGAGTGCAAAATCAATTAAAATAAGTTAATTCAAAATTTTCCTTCTTTTCTTATTCTCTATTTTTAATTTACACAGTTTATATAAGTGTAAGTTGAGGAGAAGAAACAAAAGAACATTACATACAAAGAAGAGAAAAAATGATAGTTTAGGATCTCATAACAATATCAATATTAAATAAAATTTTTTGAAGATTTTCAGTGCTGAATTTAGGAATTTAAGTTGGAGTCTTCATTCGATATTAACTTTGTTGTAAGATTTTTAGTTCTCATTCTCTCAAAAATGAATCAATAATTGTTGATCGAGTGGTGGAAGGTAATATTCCACAATGAAGATTTGAATTATTTACGTATTGTAAGTTAAAAAATAAAATTATGTTAATAAGCTGCTGTATTTAAAACTCGATCATATTTTAAAAATTTAACACATGTAATTCAATTTTTCTAAATCTTTCAATTAAAAATCGAAATTGTATTGAAAATATTTAAAATTATTATGATATTCTGAAATCCAAATTAAATACATTCAATATTTTAAAAGTATTTTACATTTATAATTATTTTTGAGAAATACGAGTGTTTTCTAGCCGTGAAAATGTGAGTGCCGCTCTAGTTCTTATTGTAAATGGCTTCTAGTGAACAAAAATCTTAAATATAAGTTACTTGGAAGCTATTAATTATTGTCTTCAATTTTATCTTTTTAATGAGTTAGAGAAAAAATAAGAGATGAGAGAAAACATATAGCATATTTTTTAGTACATATTCTTTTAACAAGGCAACTGGCAACCACAGAAAATTTTATCAATTTAAAATATACTACTTCCGGTTCTAATTATAAGAACTAGTTGACTAATTTGAGGAGATTAAGAAAAAAAGTTAAGTT